TTTTAAGGTTCTGCAGGGTAGGGGACATTGTTGGGGGGGAGTGCACACCTCTGCAGGGTGGGGACTGTAGCAAATGCATTGGCGGGGAAGGCAGTGTGGCAGGGTACTCACCTGTTAAGTTGTTATCCCTTGTTATCTGATGCAGACACAAAAACACTGCATAGCCAGCAAAACAGAACACTGCAAATGGGCAAATGACAGAAAACCACACACGCACACTGCAACACGGGAAGAATGGACAAAATGCTAACTTAAAGACTTACTTAAGTTACTTAACTGATAATGAGAAGATGAACTACAACCTCTAGAAGTTGTAGTTCACAGTTCTTACTTCGTTCCAAGTGCAACCAAACAGCGAAAGATAAACCGCGAAACCGCAAACTTTGCAGTCAGCGGCATCAACTCCGCCTAAATTTCCTAATCCTCTGCACCTCCCCGTGCAAAAGTCTCACCCTCTTCCTCTTCCTCTTCCTCCTCGCCTTCCTCTTCCTCCTCCTCGTGCTCAGTTCCCTCCTCTACACTCCGCGGTTCTCCGTCGTTGGCATCATGACCTTCATCATCCCCTTCCTCTGATGAAGCTGAAGACGTTCTGTGCCGTCATCGTCGATGATGTCGTCCGTCTTTCTTGCTTTTGCTGCTGCTTTTTTCTTTCCCTTGGATTTTTTTTTTCTCGATGCTTCCAACGCTGCCTTTTTCTTCTCCGCTCGCATTGCTGCTTTTCTTGCTGCGGCCTCTTTGTTGGTCGGCCGTCCTCTCTTCCGTTTCCTCGGAGGTTCAATGACCTCCTCCGCAGCACGTTTACCGTGACGACGACCCTCATCACAGCGCCACACTTTACATTGCCTGCTGCTTCCGCCTTCCTTTCGACCCTCCACCCAATCACCCGTCTCTCGAGCCCGCAGCGCAAGCTCCCGGTCCTCCTTGTTATATTGCACTTCAGGTGCTGGGCGCTCATGGCCTGACAACCTCCGCAAGGCACGCTCCAGCTGCCTCCCCGGTCGAGTGTTGAAGTGCCAGTCGTTCGTGTACTTATCTATGTGCGCAAGGCCCTCCTCCTGGTCCATTGCATTGTCCACCTCGTCATTGCGCAACCACCTCCTTGCCATAGGCACTTCCTCRCCATCGTCGTCGTCCTCCAACTCGCCTTCMTCGTCCGACGTGTCATTCTCGCCACTCGGCATGCTGTTCTTCACYCATTTCACCCAATCATTGTAGAACTGCTCTGCCTCCTCCTTCAACTCGGCGTCCGGCATTTCCTCCACCCACGGAATGTGGACATCATCCACACCACGGCCGCGCTCTTGCCTCCACTRCAGGTGGAGGTTCCAATTGTTGTAGACGAGCTTTGATAGGCGGGTGGGCAGAATCCTCGTCCTCCTCCTGCCAAAAATGAGCTCATGCAGACTCCAGTTGCGTTCGCATGCCGCGGATGAGCTTGCCTGGCCCAACAGTCTGATCGCTTGGGGGTGCAAAAGATGAAGCCGCGATGCAAACGCATCCCACCACATCGCCGGGTTCTTGGTGTGTGCTGCGCGCAAAGCTTCCTCTGATTGCAAGGCCCCCTTCAAGTGCACCCACTCGTCAACCTGCCAGCTCACATCATCGAACATCTTGTCTGTGCACCAGGTATACAACCATATGTTGAACCCGGCTCGGATCTCAGTGTCTTTGAAGGAGCCCGACGATCTGTACTCCGGGTCCAAGAAGGCTGCTGCACAATGCAGCTATGAAGTCATGAACGCCCATCGATCCATGAGGATCGACTCGACCTCTGCCTTCTCGAAGTCTGCCAAGATGTCCAGCTTGCGAATCGACTCCACCACACCATCCATTTGATGATAAACCTTGGCGATTGTTGCCCCCGGACCATCGGCGAGCTTCAGTAGCTTGACGATGGGCTCCGTGGTCCTCAAGGCCTTGTCCACCCGCTCCCAAAAGCCGCCATCCAAGATAGTTGCCGTCACCTCCTCGAATTGAGAACGCAGGTGGGGCGGCACCAGGGAGGAGACCCACCCGCTGGCAGCCAGAGTCAATTTCAGGGCATTTGCCCTGTCCCACAGCGACTGCAACATGATGATGTTGGTCGCGAATCGAGTGACGCCTGGCCTCTTAATCTCGGCACCACCCGATTTGGTCAGGAAGAGTGCTCGAACCTTGTCGTGGTTCATCACGAACTTCCCCAACACATTCCCCCTCTTCACAGTCTCCGCAAACCACGGAATGCGCTTGTCCATGTCCTCCAACGCGAGGTCAAGGGCATGCGCCGTGCAACCCACCCGGAATATCCATGGGTATTTTTTCTCCACCGACTTCCCGGCCTTCACACAAACGCGGGCATTATCCATGATCACCCCGACCACGCTTCTTGGGCCAATCTCCTCAATCGCAGTGGAGAGTATTCTGTAGTATGCACAAGCGTCTTTGTCCTTTCCCGCTACGCACACCGACTTCCAAAAGACGGTGCCGATGGGAGAGGACACCATGACGTTTACGTGTGGTCTYCCCCGCCGGTCAGACCACCCATCTACTTGCACCATACAGCGGGTGCGATCCCACTTCTTCGCCAATCTCCCAACGTCCTCGATCGCCCTCTGGTGCTGTCCGTTTAATCGGCCATTGCGCGCCGCCTCTCTCGAGTGCAGTCTCCATGACGGGTGGGCCTCTCGTATGGCGTCCACCATGTGGTTGAAGAACTCGTTCTCAACCATGTTGAATGGTTGGTTCGTGCACGTCATCCAGCGGTCTACCCTTCTTGACGTCTGCTCATTCTTTGTGACGACGCTGTCGGTCTCCTCCAACAACATCTGTCGCATCCGTGCAGCAGGTGCAGCAGATGCACCTGTGCGCTGCACCGTGATACCTGGCCCGCTGCAACCCACCTCTTCGCCACAAGCGACGCCCGCAGCTTTGCCACAAGCGTCACCCACCCCTTCGACCAAACCCCCGCCCGTAGAAGCAGCCGCCAAATTGGTGACAGTAGGTAGGGCATTGGCACCGTCCCTCGCAATGCCCGAGTCTGTCCTTGCCTGCCGCAATCCTTCCTTCCTTCTCAAGATTTCCTCTGCGGTCAATGGTTTCGTTGATTTCTCAAGTGCACAAATCCCCTTTGTGAAATGTTCCTTCAGGTGATTGAGATTGCCCGAAAATTTTAGATCGCAGTAATGGCAGACCCTCCACTTTCCCCCCTTCAAAGGATCCATGCCCGCGGGGCCAAGGACATCAAAATGGCGCTTGACAAGGCTGGCTTCATACTTACGGCTGGACATGATGACCTGCACGCAGCAATAACAGACAAAATTAATACGAAGAAAGACAGACAAAAAAAGGGGGCCTGCACGCAGCAATAACATCAAAATGGCGGTCGACATGATGACTTGCACATGATGACCTGTACATCAAGCCCTAACGGCCCCTGCGCATCAAGCCCTAAAGGCCCCTCTAGATCAGCATGACCCCTGCGCAAGGATGACAAACACAAATCGAGAAAAGGTCGAACAAAAAAAACAGGAGGAGGAGGAGGAGGAGGAGGAGGAGAAGGAGAGAAGAAGGAGGGAGGGGGAGGAGGAGAGAGATGATGATGA